CCAGCTCTGAGCCCTGAGTTGGGGATGGATGTCTGGGTCTCAGGCCTAAGTGAGAGAAAAAGGTGTCCAGCTCTGAGGCCTGAATGAGTCCTGAGTGGGGAGGTGGCATCTGGAGGTGCTCTGGAGTCCATGTTCTCTAATACCCAGGGAGGTAAGCTGACCGGGGAGACAGGAGCAGGAAGGACTTGGCTGCACAGATGGTAGAGGGCGCATGGGAGGGCATCGAGGACCACCTGCTCCGTGCTTCGGAGGAGAAAAGATGGAGATCAGGACACTCCAACCACCAGAGCTGGGATTCCAGTGCTGACTCCACCAGTGAAATCCTGGGAACTTCAGCCTGTCCAACCAGTTTCACTTTCTCAAAGCGTGACAGCTGAGGGCAAAGAAATGGTAGCGAGGGAGCTTCCTGCCCGTAGGATGTGGAAACCCGAGCTCTTTTGTTGGGATGCCTGTAGCCAGTCCCAGGGGACCACTGAGAGCCACAGTTCATGCCCATGATACCCAACAGTGGCCCCATACACCGCAGTGCCAATTCAGGCACCATGGTACATTCGAGGAGCCGGGCACTCAGCCTCTGCTGTTCCTCCCTGCCAAATGAAAGTCCTATCAAGTGGTCAGAGCAACAAAGACATAAAATGCAAACGCATTCTCTGGGAGACCTTGAATCCGCCCGAGAGCGCTTTGCAGATTCTGAGGGCTTTGCCAAGCACAGCCCGGGACACTGCCTGGCGTGGTGCCTCCACCCTCACTTCCCAGGGAGTCCCGGGAAGAACAGTGGCTTTCTGTTCTACTCGACATTTTAGGCAAAACTAGCCGCCCATCACAAAGCCTTCTCTCCCTGCTCCCCCATTCACCCCACCCTAGAGAGGTGTCGTGTTGTGGGTGCGCCTTTTTCTGTTTGGGGTGGTTTTATAAGATGAGGTGATAGGGTTCCTGGCTGCTGGAGTTACGTAACCCACTGTGCGTCCTGGGCAGTGCAGGCTCCCCGGCTCTGCCCCAACAAGCAAACTCAGAAAACTGCCGAGGAAGGCGCAGAGCTGTGGCCAGGCTTGCATGGAGGACCGCTCTTTCTCCAAGTCCCCTCTGGAGTTTGAGTCTGCCCATGGCATTGGCCTTTCCGCTCAGGCAGCCCTCCAGGGCCCAGCCTCTGCCAGGACTCTGCCACCAACTGGCTGGGACAGACTCATGTGGTAAGTGTGTTTATGGGAGCGTCCGCTATAAATTTGCTTTGTGGCGTGGCCAGAGGGAGGAAAGCAGAGGGACTTGGTTTCACCTTTTTCTGAGCTGTTGGTTGGTTGCTGGTGGCTTGAGGAATCACCAATGGTGGGCAGGTGGCGTGGAGGGGCGCTGGAAGCTGCTTATTTCCACACCCCCTTTACTGAGCCAGGTGCAAGATGCAGGCCTGTTCTTTGCTGGCCGGGGTAAGGTCCGTCTCTAAAGCTCCTGTTCCCAGATCTGTGCCATATCTGCTGCCCTTCCTCTTCCTTTTCCTCCTCTACTCCCTCCTTCTCTTCCTCTTTTTTTCTTTTGAGTCAGGGTTTCTTTGTGTAGTCTTAGCTGTCCTGGAACTCTCTCTGTAGACCAGGCTGGCCTCGAACTCAATGGAGATCCACCTGCCTCCTGAATACCAGGATTAAAGGTGTGCATCACCACCCTGGCTTCTTCCTCTTTTTTTCAGTCCTGAGGATCATGTATTCTAGAAAGTGCCCCACCACGGAGCTCCATCCCTAGCCCACCCTCCCATTTTTAATCATTTTTATTTTCTGACTGAGTCTCACTAACACTCTCAGGCTGACCTTGAACTCACTCTGTAGCTCAAGCAGGCCTTGAATTGACGTTACCCTGCCTCAGCCTCTGCATCTAAACAGTCTTTATCCTAGTTTCTTAGAGCCCTGGCTGGTGTCCTAGGACAGCAAGGGATTTTTCGAATGTGAAGAACAGAACTACTCAGCATTCTTCCCCCTGCCCCCACATTCTCCTGTCTTCTCTGCTCAAAGCTGGGCCCTGTGATTGTGGTCCCCACACCCTGACAGAGCTTTATGCTGGCCTGCTCTGGCTTGTTGCTTGCTGCGGGCTTCTCACTTCCTCTGAGTGGATAGACCCAAGTCTGACAGTGCGATGACCCATCTAGTTCCTGTCTGCACTCCAAACCCCACTGAGGTTCAGGGAGCTGTGACCTCTTCTTGTCCCTCACCAACAATTTCAGGTTTGTAGACGTTTAAATCATATTCAGCCTGATGACATTTTAAGTCTACAAGTACACTTGGCCATAAATGCTCAGGACCAGCTTCTTGCTGGGGTTTCTATTAATTTCTGGGGTTTCTCAGTGAGAAATGGTTCTGCTCAAAGGATGGGTGTGTGTGAGCGGCTGTAAACCTCTGAAAACAAGCAAGAACTTCTCAGGGACAGGAAGCTTCTGGCATTTGTCCTGCCTGAAGGAGACCCCGCTTGGGCTGGGAGATGCCTTAGTCAGGAGAGTTCTCGCCACACGAGCACCAGAGCGTGAGTTTGATCCTAAACCCACACAGAAAGGCCAGGTGTGGTGGTGACACTTACTTCTCAGCACCGGGGAGGCCGAGGCAGGAGCCTCCCTGGGGCCTGCTGGCCACTCGTCTTAAATGAATCCACGACCTCCAGGCCAATGAGAAGCCCTGTCTCAAAAGCCAGGATGGAGACCAATTGAGAATGACACAGGCTGATGACTTCTGGCCATCGTGGGAACATGTGCATACATGCATGTATACACATGAATTCATTAAAACAAACCAGCCAAAAATCCAGCCCTCCTACCTCGAAGCAGATGCAGAAGGAGCTTGTCCCTTATCACTAACTTAACCCACCAAACATGGCATCTTACCCCCCTCAAACTCGCTCAAATAAAACATCGTGGCCTTCCTGCACAGTTCATTGATTTAGCTCACGTATTATTTACTAATTCCAGAAGTTTAATTTTAATGCTTCCCTTTGAAAAATCACAATCCAAAAGATACTTACTTGACCGTGAATGAATGAGGAAGGAATGGACAATGGGATATCTCTCATGGACAACAATGAGAAGCCGCAGCCTAGAATCTGGGGGATTGCCTAGGATTTCCTAAAGTCGTAAGTTTGGAACCATTACTGTCCTTTTCCTCCGTGGATCGCCCTGACCTAACAGCGGTCATGTTCTGCAGATGGAACAGATGACAGAGATCCTTCTGTGAGTCGTGTGCTGATTCTGGAGCACAAGACTGGTCTTTGCAAAGACCGAACACTCCTGTTCAGGGCCACTGCTTCCTGTTCTGTCCCTGGGGTGATGGACAAGACACTTACCACAGTTTTTAATATAAAAGGGATTTTTAAAAATTACATTTTTATGTTTCTGTATGTATGGGTATGAGCACATGCGTTGTCAGAGGTCAGCTGTGGGAATCGGTTCTCTTCTGCCCGTGTGGGTCCCGGGGACTGAACTCAGGCTTGCAGGCTTGCAGCAGGTCCCTTTGTGCTCTGAGCCCTCTAGGTGACCCCAAAATCAGATTCTTGACCTGTAACTTGGGCTGTAGTTCTCACGTACTTGTTATATTTTTATCTTCCTCCCAACTGGTGTTAGTTCTACCTGGAAACAGGCCTTTAATGTAGTCAGTGGCCCTCATTAGCATGCCATCTGTTACAGCCTTCACCCACCTCAAGCCCCGTGACAGGGAGGCAAGCAAGCAATAAGTTATAACGGAGGAAAATTAACCTGAGATCAGGCCTGGACTTGAGCCCTGGCACCTGGTTCTTCCTACTCCACAGGGGTGTGCTGTTGGGGGCCTGTGCCTGGGGTAGAGGGAGGGGAGGTCTAGGTGTACCATGTCACTGGAGTGAGGCGTTCAGAACAAGACCAGGCAGACACTGTTTCTGTGTCGGAGCCTCAGAAGACACAGGGTCTCCTTCCTATCCCAGTGACTCATGGGCCAGCAGCGGTGCCGTGTAGCTGGTGACAGGATCACACAGGCAGGCCAGGGTGACCAGGGGCCTTCTCAGAAGCCTGCCGCCGTCACCCACGCTGCTGTCACCCACGCAGCGTGACAACCTTTGAAAGTATGTCTTACATCCTCTTCATACACAGATGAGGGGACTGAAGTACAGAGAGCGTAGTTGAAGCTGCACAGACCCCTGGTGAAGCCAGGCTTTAATGTGGGTCATCTGCCTCGAGCTCTGCTGTCTTATCTGCTGTCCAAGCACTGAGAGCACTGGGAAGAAAGTCATGGTACATGGTGACTCGTGTGCAGACAGAGCCCCAGAGCATCCCAGGATACCCTTCCCTGGTCACTGGAATTCCTGGGATGCTTTCTGTCCTAGATAACAAAAAGGAGAACGGAGGTTCACCAGGCTGTAGTCCTGCCTGCTCGTAGGTGGAAGCATCTTGCAGCATCCTCTCCTCCTGTCTTCGCAAAAACATAGACCCACTGTTTCCACGATAGCCAGTCCCACACTCTGCAGCTCACCCTGAGGTGCCTCACACAAAATAGTGATGAAATATCAGGAAAAGAATACACCTGGGAGTGAGTCCCACCACAGCACCTACGTGACCCTCTACCCCAGAGGGTCTCAACCCCTAGGTCACAGCCCCTTTGCCAAACCTCTGTCTCCAAAAATATTTACATTATGATTCATAACAGTAGCAAAATTATGAAGTAGCAACAAAAACAATTTTATGGTTTGGGGTCACCACAGCATGAGGAACTGTATTAAAGTTGCAGGATTAGGAAGGTTGGGGACCCCTGCTGGAGTCCCCCTCTCCTCAGGAAACTCGTCCCACATACCTTGTTGCCTTTTCTACCCGCAGCCATCTGTGTTGGAGACCTTTCCCCTCAAGCAAGCGGGCTTCACAGCCGTGGTTGGTAGCTGTTACTCAGTCTCCAAAGCCAACATTGATCTCATTAGTTCCCCTCCAGAGGCCTGTGGGCTACTCCCAGCTTCACAGATCCGTTCTCTAGGGCTGGGGAGACCTTGCTTCCACCCAGCAGATGTCCCTGATGTCCAAGTGGGATTGCTTGGAGTTGGACTTGAGTTTTGATGGACTTTGACAGAGATGTTGTGTTTTCTCCATTGTTTGTGTTATCAGTTCTGACTGTAGCTCCCACAGTGGGCTCCTTCAGTTTGGTGAGGAAATCCCTTTAAAATCCCTTTCTTTCTTTCTTTCTTTCTTTCTTTCTTTCTTTCTTTCTTTCTTTCTTTCTTTCTTTCTTTCTTTCTTTCTTTCTTTCCTTCTTCCTTCCTTCCTTTCTCTCTCTTTCTTTCTTTCTTTCTTTCTTTCTTTCTTTCTTTCTTTCTTTCTTTCTTTCTTTCTTTCTTTCTTTCTTTCTTTCTTTCTTTCTTTCTTTCT